CCCCACCCGGCCTCCCCCCCCCCCCCCCGTTTTTACGCCACACACATACACTGTATATACACACACATATACACTGCCAGTGGAATGTAAGCAGTCAAGTCTAGTGAATAACCTGAAATGGTACAAAGGTCAGCGGTAAACTGCCTAATGTGGGAAATAAAGAGGTTTAGGTTAACAAAAACTGAATATTAGTGTACATTTCAGTAGGGCTGCAACTAATGATTATTTTTATAATCAATAATTTAGGCGATTATTTTTTCGATCGATTTAAAAAAATCCATCTTTTATTTACAATAAAATACACAAATGGAGTGTTACAAACAGGGTTTACTTCAGAATAAAACTGTATGCAAATTTTTTGCAATAGCACCGCACTGGAACGCATCTGTATTCAGCGGGGATCCGAGGAGGAGTGAAGGAAGCGCTGCAGCTGGCGGCGGGGGAGGGCGGAGGAGGGAGCCGCTGTCACAGAACTAAGGCCGAGCGATAAGGAGAGAGCAAGAGCCGCTCGGCCAGGATCTGACAGCTGGTGCCTCTCTCTCCCCTCACCGCTCGGCCTTAGTTCTGTGACAGCGTCTCCCTCCTCCGCAGTGTTTGTACATAACTGGGGACACATTTTAAAATAAAATATAAAAGATGAGGTTACAATGAGTAAATAGATACCCACCATGCCCAAGTTAAAAATTGTGTGGGTCAGTGAAACTGCAACAAAATTCAGTACCCTCAAAAAGTCCATAGACTGCAATTTAAAAGCCCCCACAGGTCATCAGTTTAGAGATACGTGTAAATATTGGCCCTAGAATTATTGCTCTCACTCCGGTGTACGTGGCAATACCCAACATTTGTAGCGCAATCATGGTTTTCATACGTAGGTGCACCCGACGCGTGTTTACGTGAAGACGGGCATGCTCGCAGGGGCGGGGGACTTTAAACATTTTTTTATTATTTGTACATTTATTTTTATATTAATTTTAAAAACTGTTGTTTTTTTTACTTTATTTTAATTGTGATCACATAGGGGGGCTTACAAGCCCATGTGATAGCATATTGGCAATGATAGGTACTCTTTAAGGTAATACTTGGGGTACAAAAGACCCCTTATATCACCTTTACACTTGAAATAAGCATTGAAGTGCAGATCACACTTTAATAGCTTATTGCTGGTCTTCAGGAGCCGAGCAATGACAGCTCAGGGACCGGAAGTGATCTAATCTGCATCGCACAGTACGAGGAGGTGATCGGTGAACTGAGGTTCGCCGATCTCCTCCCCAGCTATCCCCGACACCAGAGAAGCCGGACCCAGGCCAGTTGGAGGGGAAGCGGAGCCCGGTAAACACAGCGGGGGTGTCGGGGGGGGGGGGGGGGC